ATCCTGGTTAAATTTCATGTTCATAAGTTAAATGGTCCAATAATACTCCCTCTTTTAGTACTTTTGAAGTGGAGTTGAAATTTCATTTAAATTCCATAAAGAACGGGAAAAATGCTAAAGCAAGGAAAACATATGATATATGTAAAAATATAACTAGGTTACATAAATATTTACCTCATTACCACTGGAACTTAATTATTTTTTTGTTCTGTTTATGTTTTCTTTCTTTTATCCTGTAGCATTTTCAAGTTCACACAGGACAAAGGACAAGTGGAGACAAGATAGCAAAACAATCGACTGCTTTTATTCTCCAATCAAAACCACAAAATCAAACACAGGATTTACACACACATAAGGGGACCGACGGAACACATACACAGGCTTAGGGTGGTAACTCGTTAACAGAAGACTATACACTTACAAAGCTACATAGGACACTTAAACTAATATAACACTATTTACATAAGCAGGGTCAGCTGCTGGTCATCATGCTAACCCTCGACTCCCTCCGGCTACAACTCCCAGCCTGCTTTGCAGTACCCTTAGTGCCTAGGTGCGCTACTTGTATTTGTAAATTTGTTATAGTGTAATGAATACGCCTCTGCGCATAACAGGGAGCTTGGCTGCCGGGCTAAAGGAGATTTCCTTTATCTCAGATGGCAAGTTCCCTGTTGCGTGACACCAGAAATCCGGGTTTGATCCCATGTGGTGGCGGGACGAACTGGGATGAGAGTGGTGAGAGCACATGCCCTGAGAACCCCAATCTGTTAAAATATATTTAATTAAAAAAATGAAAAATGCTTAGTTTTATACTTGACTAGATGATATAATTTTCATGATGAAATGCAGTAATGCATTATTCATGTTAAATCATTGGGCCTAATATTTATTTATATTTAAAGTTCGAATACCATTTTATGTTCTGTCATGATTGTTGGTAAAACTTAGACCTACTTGTTTTTAAATTTGATTATAGGTCCTGTATTTGTTGAGTGACACATGCCAAGCTTAGTAGTTAATTTTCTAAATGTCATGTTAATAAGACCAATTAAAATGGAGTTCCAATACACCCAATAACTATAAATAACTACAGTATTTTCTCATGAAACAGTGATTCTTAAGAATGGCAGCACGCCAAAAAACTCTTGCTTTAAATCAAGTCCACATAGCCAATCTTGGTTTTCTTTCACGGCATGTCAGTCATCTTTTTTCTTTTCTCTTAGAAACAATAGGTGTCCCATTTTGTGCCTATCAATACGATTTGGCTTAATTGGTTGTTAAATTATGTCATGTTTACTTTATATTCCTTTTCACAACTTTATTTAATCTCACTGAAGGACCAAAACCGACACCATATTATGAAAGTATTGTCAATCGATTGTTGTTCAATCGACTTGTGATGCTTTTTGCTAAACGACTGCAGTGGCGGGGTTAACAAAGAAGTACTTTATACTTGCTCGTAAAATGACTGATTAAGAGGGGTTTTGGGAAACGCACGAAGAAGTAGCACGTATGTTACGTACATACATCGTGAAGTTGCTTGTTAATCTCTAAGATTAATCATTTTCAGGAAACTCACCCCTGATGTGTTATGCAAAGGATTTGCAGAGAAAGGTTAATTTACAGTTTTCACATTTAGTTGCATTATAGCTTGCAGTCTTGACACTTTGGTATGCAAATTATATGGTACATCCACAAAGTCAAAACAGAAACAGAAAAATATATAATGATGAAAGGAAAATGGAAAAGTCACAATTGTACAAGAATTCATACTCTTTGTTTGGCGAACTGTACCTTAAAATTACCTTAATGAGTTACACGATTGTTGTAGGGGATTCTGTCTGTGTGTATTAATAGTGGTTAACATAGCTGCTGAATAAATATACCTCTGTAAGGTCCCTAAGTCGGGTAGTGACTTTCAAAGAAAGATTCAACCATTGAGAAGATTAAACAACCGAGATCTTTCATATCAGGGATAACATTCTATAAAGATCCAGGTCAAAAGAAGGGTAGAAATTATGAGAGAATATGTCCAGGGTCAACATTATCCTCCACAAGTTGCTTCGCAAAGGGGTCATGTATGGAACTGAAGAAAAACCCATCTCAAATCCTAAAATACATGGGGTTTACAACAAAACACTTAAATTATATTACCAACATACAGTACGTCAAAATGTTTTGTGTAGAGATAGGGCAAAACAATGTATATTATATTGGAAGCAAAAACAGCATGGTGATGGTAGCCTAGTTGTGCTGCTCATAAGCTTGTCAAGGGAATATAGATGGAGCATTGTACTGGCAATGTACTGGCAAATCTTAAGACCAATCAACATATTTCATTTTTTCTCTTTTATTTCTGGGTGATATTTATTGTAACTTATTTAAAGTATTAGTTTAACATTTAGGTTTTGAACAAAAATTAAGTCTAAAAATGTGCAAAGCAATGTATAGTTCCATTAGTTAGATTCAAGAGAGTCTACAAGCCTTTTGTTGTTTTTTTTAAATGTGACAGAAATATCCAACTAGTCTAAACGTGCCACCACACAAATTGCATACAGATGGCATTAAGCCAGAGAAAAAGTGACGCAATGCATTTGATTAAGGTCTCTGAGTAGGGATTGATGTTCTTGAGTAAACTGTAATTCTCAAATTGGATGTGAAGTCTTTATAATTAAATTTCACTCTGTCCTTTAAGAAACCTCAACCTCAACAAAAGACAGTCAGGGATTCTCTGTCTACATGTACAAGTGTACTATGGCCTCCACAAACTCAAACCATTATTATTTCACATAATTTCTTAAAGGCAGAAATAAACATCTCTTAGCCTTGCAAATGGTATAAAGAAGTATTAAAGGGTGAGCTGCAGTCTATGAACAAGACCTGTGCATACAAAGTGCTGTAAAGTGGTGTGGAGGCACAGAGAGACTGCGTTCTCAACAGATCCGTTAACCCTGTATGAAAATTAATGCATGTCCAGCTAGATGCTGGACGAACACTTACCTATTAGCAGCTTGAATTCCTTCAAAATGGCTGATGTGAGAGTTACTGACCTGTAATTATTTAAAAATGTTATATTTGATTTATTTGGCACTGGGAAAATCTGTATTCATCATATTTAAACTACCTCCCGAAGACTCTGTTCAGTTGAGGCTGTCCTTTGCTGTACTACAGTAGCACTAAATCTCAGACTTTCGGTTATGTTACTGGTCCACTGTTATGGAATGCCCTCCCTTCAACCCTTTGAGAGACAAACCCTTTGACTCTCTTTAAATCTAAACTAAAGCCATCTGGAACTTGGCCTCTGCTGGACGTGGAGTTAGTGGGGCCAGTAGCAATATGGACACTATATTGTAAAAAAGCGTCATCCTTTGGATGACTGACATCCTGACTCTCTGTGGTCATTAAAAATCCCAAGGGGCATTTCTTCTGTTATGCTGGCACCCCAGCCACATTTCCCATTGACCTTTACTAATGGCCTTCTAATAATCCCCATCTATGAATTGGCTTCATCACTTTGTTCTCCTCTCCGATGATAGCTGGTATGTGGTGAGTGTACTGGCCCACTATGGCTGCCATTTCATCATCCAGGTGGAGCTGCACATTGGTGGTGGTGGAGGGGAGTCCCCATTACCTGTAAAGTGTTTTGAGTGAAGTGTCCAGAAAAGCACTATATAAGTGTAAGCAATTATTATGATACCAAACGAGGTCACAAATGTCCAGGATAATGAAGTTGTAAGAAATCTTTGTCTTAAGTTTTCTTCTATGAATGCTTGAGTTACTCTAAATTAATTTGCTGATGGTGGCAGAAAAACTGCTTTTCTGCCAAATGTTATCACAAAATGCAGCTGGTTTCCTGACACTTTCAAGTAAATATTACAAAAATATTTACAGTAATTCCTCATTACACTACTATCACATTAACTAGCTGGAGATTGTTTTGACTGCACCAGCTCACTAAAGCAGTGACCTTCCTGATTTCTCATTTTTGTTACTAGCCTTGCCAGAGTAGTAAAACCTGCAAACCTGATTCATTTCACAGATTCAGTTTGTATACTCAGCCATAGGATTTAAATATAAAACCATGTAATGTCAATGTTTATTTAGCACAAACATTCTGACATTTTTCAATGGGCTGTAGTTTGTGTAGTTAAAATTTGTGTGTTTTTTTAAGTCATTCAATATTTTATTTACAATATGTTTCTTTATTATTACTTACCATATCTATTTTAAAACTAGACTACAATGAAATTCTAAATAAAAAAATCCAAATAGGTTTTTTTGCATGTAAACAATTTAATAAATAATATACTTTTCTTAGTACAATGTTTCTATTAAAATGCATGTTTTTGTGTTTAGCTCCCTTATATAAATACATGAAATATCTACATATTGCTAGACATTTGAAAAATTTCTAAACCATTCTGAGGTTTTCATGCTTTTGTCATGCCAGAGACAAGATCTTTTTTTGTCCGATAAACAGTTTCAGTAAAAAATCAAAAACTGTAAAAAAGAAACTACTGGATACAACATTGACAGAACAATCATAGTAATAGTCTTAAGATTAGGTGAACATATTTCAGTTCTGAAGCTAAATAGCTACATCAGTATTTTACTAAACTTGGATTCTTTTAGTTTCCTAAATACTTCACAACTCATAGTTCGCTGAGAATAAAAACATAAATTATAAGAAATGAGAGGAGGCCATACAGCCCATCTTTGTCGTATGGATACAATTAGATAATCTAGCCTTCAGCTACTACAACACGGCTGGGTAGCTTGTTCCACAACAAATTTGCAACACATGGTCTTTTAACCTTGTTGTTGCCTTTGAGGACACTGAAATCTTGTATCAGATCCCTTTGTAGTCCTCTCTAACCAAGACAATAAGATTAAATTATTTTAATTTGTAGTTATTTCTTCTGAACTTATTTGTTCCCAGTTATTTTTTGGGGGAACAACACTATACACAATATCCTAAATTAGGTTTTATTAGCCCATTTTACCATTGTCATTCCTTTATTAATCACTACTTATACTGCATGTACTAACATTCTTAGTTTTTCAAATGTTTACTTACATTGTCTAGAAAATTGAAATTACATATCAACACAATCACTTAAGACTTTTAAAGAAATGGCTTCTTTATGCTGTTTTTTCTAAGTATGTTTTTGCTACCTACATGTAACACCCTGTGTTTGTCAACTTTTAATTTCATACAGTATGCCATTGATTTGCCCAGTTTGTCATTTTGTTTTGGTGTAATTTCCTTTGCAACTTCTAATGTGTTTGATAATGTCAATGTCATAGGTAAACCTGCTTAGTTTACTAACTACTGTATAACAGAGTCTAGATCATGGATTCTGAAATAGAACAGTAGCCCAAATAAAGATCCCTATGATACAAAACTAATTACTGTACTGTACCCCGTAATGATGTAATTTGTGCCACTCATCTGTACTCTCTCTAGAGTTCATGCTTTTCTTCTCAGTTTACTTATTCACAATCCGCACATTACCATGAATGCTTACTGCCTGACATGTAGTAATTTAATTATTAATCTTTTATGAGGACCTTTCAACAGTCTTCTGTTGAAACCCAATATATCATATTACATGCTGTGTGTGTGTTATGGTTAAAATACATTACTGCTGTTTTGTGTTCAAGGAACTCTCAACAGTTAAAAAAATACTCCATGCGAACTGGACTCTAGAATTTTATCCCAATTCAAAAGATCCTGTATATTTTAGTTTTATTGTAATCATAGTTTCCAGGAACTAAAATGAAAGTGAATTGTAAGAATAATCACTTGTTCTGATTTTGTCACCCTTTTTAGAGATAGGTGTACACTACATTAGCAATGTTCCAGTCAGTGGATATTATTCTTACCTTCAGTGACTTCAGTAGAATAAACATTGGGATGAATTTGTTCAGGTGATAAATAGCTAGCTACACATATGTGATCAGGACCACTTTCTCTTTCTCTTGCTCTTCAAAATAGGAACTGTTTAATGTATACTACTTAGAAATAAAACTAATAAAGAAAAGCCAAAAACAAAACAACACCTCCTGAAAATGGTTTAGCTCTTATCCCTGAAGTCCAGTTTCTGTATTTTGTCTACTATCATCATACAATCTCATCTGAATCCAGACTGTATTCATCATACATAGCATCCAAGATGGCTAACTGGTTCTCCATAGCTGGCAAATAGACATCAAGATCCCTGTGCATCCCCTCGGGAAACCCCTTCTTCAGTTCATCTCCTTCAATAGAGACCAAGGCTGCTGCAAAGCCCTCATAGGATGGAGCAGCTCTCAGTGCAAGCTAGAGGAAAAACAGGCCCATAGGATAAAAAAAAGACACAGGTGGGGGTAAATATTACAAAACACTCCAGATATTTCAGACATTAATACAGTATCTGTACACTTCAGTACTGCAATCTATGCACTTTTAAGTTCCATATACAGTGGGCCAGACATGGCTGTCAAACAGGCCTGGTTACTGTGTAGTTTCTTGAACTCCTTTTGCATTCTTCATAGCACAGGAGGCCCATTCTCAATACACCCCCATTTTCATGCACGATAGTACTACACTGGCATGGTTGCTGTTCCGGATACACTCATGTCAGTGCACCTGGCACTACTACGCTACATTCTTTTAAATCTTACATCTTTTGTCTTCCTGTGAATTGCACATGCACACACAGTGCATAGATACATGCCTACCTGCTTTAAATAGCATTGTCTGCACATACAGTATGATGCTTTTACTGATTGAGCAGTCAATTACATGGGAAGGGCAAGCATACATAATAAACTGGTCACTGAGTGTATTCTGTAGTAATTGTTTTATTTCACATTCACATTTATTGTTTTATTTCACATTCACTTAAAATATTTTGATTATGTATTTTTCTCATTACAAACATAACTAGTAATGGCACTAAATAGTAGGTGATGTTCAACACAGGCTGAAGATCTTTGTTCTAAAACCCGTTAAATTAAAAAACAGTTCAAAGCTTTTTTAAACTGTAGCTTTACATTTATGTTAAATTCCTTATAATAAATTAATTGAAAATGGTTATTAAAAAGGGTATTATGGCAAAAAAGGTCCAAGGGCCACATTATATTTTGAAACTGTACAGAAAGCCACTTAAGGCTGTTGTTACAGATATCCTATGCCCTATGTAAGTTTAAAACCCATTATAGGCTTATTAGTTCAATGTTAACAAAAACCTGAGAGAAATACCCTCATCCAAAAGGCTTCTTGATTATGAGAGCTGTGCAGCTGATCACTTCTTTTTGCAAGAGCATCAAAATCCATTGATAGTTGTGTTGTGGCAATCCGTAATACACAGCTCAAGTGGTGGTCACTCAGCTGTGATCTGTGGTGTGATTTGTTGATGTTCATCAAGCTGAATGTTTTCTCACACATGTAAGTAGATCTGAATAACACCAGTATTTTTTGTGCTACTTGTTGAATATGGGTAAACTTGGCCTCGTTAAGTGATGCATAGAATTCTTTCAGCTTTACAGAATGAAACTTTTCTTTCAGAGTTATGTCACTCTGCAGATCGATCAGTTCCAGCTGCAATCAGTGTGATGCTGTCTCGTAGTTGAAAGTCAGAGCACATGACACCATCGTTTGAGACCTCTCAATTTTATCAAAGTCAGCAAATCGACAATAAAATTCTCCATGCAAGTCTGTGAGGGACTCGTTGAACCTTAGTGCTTGAGCGCGTGACACGTCTAGTGTCCCAAGAGTGGGGAAATGTGCGAACGAGTGGCTGATCATCTGTTTTGAAGGTGAACTTAACTCTGAATGCATTCACATTCTAATACAGTTCTGGAACAAAGTCACCTTTTCCTTACAGTTTCACGTTAAGCTCATTCAAGTGAGCAAAAATGTCCACAACGAATGCAAAGTCGCAGAGCTCGTCTGAATCTCTGAGTTTAAGAAAATCGGCAGCTTTCCCAATGTTCTCCAAAAAGGAGTTGGTCTCCTCTCTCACACTCACTTGAATACTTTTCCCAAGCTGAGCCAACGAACATTTGAATGATAGAGTAAGTCATTATCTGAGCCAATATCTTCAAGAAAGTGAATGAACTGATGATGATTAAGTCCCCTCGGACGTACGAAGTTCACAAGTTTCACAACAGCTTTCATGACATGTTCGAGGCCCAAAACATTTTTTTTTCCATTTACAAAATGATGCAGTGGAGAAATATTACCTCCACCTCAGGGTCATTTCCTTTCACTTAGTCCTGTATTCTCTTCAGTAGTCCAGCATTTTTCCCGGTTAGATTCAGAGATCCGTCTATGGTAACATTTAGTAATTTGCTCCACGGTAGCTTCTACAAAAATTAGAAGCTGTGCAGTGTCCTTTATATCAGTCCTTTCAACCAATGCAACTGAATAAATCTTGAAGTTCTCCATTTTCGTGGTCAACTCACAAGCCAAGTCTTCACCGATTACGTCGACCCAACAGGTTCTGCGTACTAAACTTATTTTCTCAAATTTGCTCTTGCTCTCTTGACAAAGAATATCGGTGGTTTCTATCATACACTCCTTCAAAAACTACCCTTCAGAGAATGGCTTGCTGTGTTTAGCAATTTTATATGCAGGCAGGTAGCTTGCCTTGGTGCTTGCCTCTTGGATGGTAGAAGGGTGGAAAAATACATTTTGCTGAGCCTGTAAACTAGCGGCTAGTTTAGAAGCTCTATTAGCCTACTCCTCGCATGACAGATTGCTAGCATAGTTAGCATGTTTGGTAGAGATTGTATTCTTTGAACACTGGGACATTTTTCTTTTAAATTAAACATATAGCCTTTGTTCCAACCTCTGTGAAAAAGTATTTTGCAGTCCATTCTTTGCTGAACACTCTGCATTCACTGTCAACTTTCCGCTTCTTCAATCTGCTCATTTTGATGCAGATTTCCTGGCAGTATGATGCACCCAATTGTTGACAGAGTCTCTGTGAATTTTGTACACACTTTTCTTGCAGAGGATGCAATATTTTACAACGTGGACATTTAGAACTAGTTTGAACTGGATTGGGCACAAGGGCTACTATGTAACTCTATACCATTGTATAGGGATGCAAGCTAGGAACCTAAGTAACCAATTGTATCAAAAGAAGTTATCTTTAGCGAATAGGGAGGTAAGAGGTTCTGTGTGATTTTGGAACACTGCTAATCTCGTAAGCACAGGAAAGTGTCATAGATAACAGAAAAAATATTTGTACTGTTCTGGTTAATTACTTTGAGAAAAATACACCGAGCATCACTGTGTGTTTCGCTCCCATGCGCATGAAATAAAAACTACTTTGAACTTCTGAGCCGGATTCCTGACTTTTAAGGGGAATCGGGGAAAGATTGCTCCAACACACTGATTCTCCAGTGAATCAAACTGATTTTGCGGTTTGTGCGCCATCTTGTGGAATAATGAAAGAATGAAAGAATAATGAAATGCAAGAAAAAATTGCACCGAAGGTGGAAAATGGCGAATATTGACCGATTTATTTTTTTACCTCAAGGGCCGGTTAAAACTGGCTGTAGTTTGCCCAGGGGTGTATTAGGATAACCATGAATCTATGAATTTAACTATGAATAAATTAAAAATGTATAAAGAAATAAACTTACAGCAAAGACTCCTCTTACAACCCATCCATGGTACTGTCGTAGTGTTTTACCATATGCATTATCTGAAAAGGAAATGTAACTGATTTTCAGAATTTGTCTTTGATATTTATAACAGTAGCAAAAGTTCAGGGTCAGCAGAAACACAGAAGACCTCATTCGTCTGGACTTTTCCGAAACTTTGATATAAAGCAATACATAACTTGGAGGTACTGAAAAAAATACTGCTATTACTAAATACTAATTTATTGTGTTATCTGCATTACTGTCAGTGCATTTCTCTTAGATTTCTATTTCTAAGTTGATTTCCATAATGTCAGTATGAATTACTACTGTACACCAAGAGATGATGCCTCTGAATTGCTTAATGTAAGAACATAAGTAATTTATACTGTATGAACAGTATTCAATTACACCAATTATATTATTGAGAACAGCTTTGTTTAAAACTTTGAAAAAGTTAATATCCCATGTTGGCATACAGAGATGTAATCTAAAAAGAAAAAACAAATTCTCTCTAGTATACTAATACTAATACAACCTGGACAAGAACATGAATAGTATAAATTACAATGACATAAAAGTCTGCAATGTAAAGTTTGTGTTTTGTTCATATTAAATTTCAGTTCACTTGAACAGTGGAAAGAATAATTGTACAGTTTCTCAATTTTACTATGTTGTGAATTATTAATTACTCTCATAAGCTATGCATTGTGAAAAAACAAATATACAGTAGTAATAAGGATAGCCTGGTATTTATTTAATAGTATGGAACACAAATCTAGACAGGTTATGGTGAATCTGTGCTGTGACTTACATAGAGTAGTGAGTACACTGTGATCTTAAACAGGCTACTCAGTTCTGAGCAACACAGAATGAACAGTAGAATATAATGAACAGTAATGTCATTTAGACAGTTTGTAAAAGGACAAAGAGCTGTTCCCATTCTAAAAATAATTTAAATGTAATGAAAGAAAAGGTGAAATGCTTTTAGCCTTAACTGGCTATGGCTGAAAAATTGAATGTTTTCAGCTCTTGAAATTAAAAATAAAAGAGCTAATTCCATTTTTTTTTTCAAAATTAGTTCAAGCACAGTATAATTTGAATTTGTTTTTGTCTCATTCAGAGCTGATATCAAGAAAAGCTACAATACACTTATTCATTTACTATCATGAGAATCACCTCACCATTAGACAGAACCCAGGTGCTTCAATGTTTCTATTCTCTTGCCAGAATTGTTTTTTATTACATGGAAAAAAATCTAAAAGTAATACAATCACCCCATTGTGCTGTAATCCCAGGAGAGAAAAGATCAACTGGATAAAACATCCAAAAAGGGGAAACTGAAGGGATAGGACCAGAGCAGTGGCCCAGGATATACACAACTACACAAGCCCCTATGTGCTCCAGCTGCCAGAACCACTCAACTAGGCCTCTAAAGCTGTTTACCAGGGCATATCTCTTAGGTGTAAGACCAGCAGCATGCTCTACAGGAAGTACACCCCTTCACAATTCCTTTCCTGGGAATGACAAAGTAGAAGCCAAGGAATAGGCTAGGAAAAAAGCTGTGACGCTGGCCACGACAGAGCCGGTAAGGTGCACAGTAGAAAAAACTGCTCCAGGAGTGTACCATGTTGATCTCTGAGCTGAAGAGGCAGAGTGGGGTCTAGCAGGCTACAGAACAAGAACAGACCCTGGATCAGTCAGATCAGTCAGCTGCAGCCTAGTAGGAATGAGAATGATCTTGCTCACCAGAAACAACTGAAAGGTGAGCAATGAGTTCGAGAAGTCCAAACAATGCCATTCTAGTCTCCAGAAGGGCTTGGAAAGCCTGCTGCAGGAGTGCACAAAGCTGTTCTTTGAGTTCAGGAGAAAGGAGGGAGGCTCATTCTTATGTTAATGAACAGTAGAAAATGAGTCTGGAGGCCACTTTGGTGGTATGAGATGTAAGTCAGCCAGCTGCTGACCAGTCAGGCTAAGCATGAAGACTCACTCCAAAGTCAATTGAAGGAAATGGGCAGTGAGCTGAATCAATTTCTGAGAAGTAACCGCAGGCTCCAGACAGAGCTGGAAAAAGCCAAGGAGGCTCCACTCAATGATGGTAAGTTCAGAGATGGAAGTGAAGGACAAATAGGTCCAAATAACCATTCTGCAAACCCTGCTACAAAACAGATTATCCAAGTAAAAGAGTAACTTGGAGATCAAAAGCCTTGATGTGAAGAATATGGAGAAGCTAAATAGTTCAGGCCGCAATGGAGGTCATTAGGCAGATACTGACTTAGTGACAGACCAAAATGAGGAAAACCCTTCAGTTGTTTTCCTCTCAAAGAAGGGGAAAACCAGTTCCAGGAGTTTGGGGAAAGTACTAGATATTCTCAGCCAGAAACCACAGAGACACTTGGCTTTAGGGAGAAGTTAAAAGAAGAGGCTCAGATAATTTTAAAGGCAGAGTGTGAGTACTATTGAAGTGCTCTGGCTGAGATAAAAATCTTAGCAGAAGACCATCAGATCTTTCTGAAGACTTAAGTGGCCCAAAGATCTTTGATGTGCCATGGCCAAAAGGATGTCGGAACTTGCAAACTATTCTTGAGAAAAGGGCTGATGTACCCTTTGGGAAGCCTGAGATCACCTGCAACCCTGACACAAGCCCAGGGGGGCCTTGTGTTCTCCTTCACACACTCCATTGATTGTGGTCAGGCCTGTGAAAAGATGGTGGGAGTGGCACTGTTCACTCCTGGAACACAGGCTGCTGTGAGCTCTATGTCTCCAAAGGAGAAATTGGAGGAAATGCTGTTGCCTGCATCCCAAAAGGTGAGAGATCAAGCTCCAGGTGCCAGAGGACAACAGGCTGCAGCTACCATTCTGGAAGGAATCTCCAACGCAAAAGGAAGATGATGGTTTCTTGCATCAGTGCAAGCAAGGGAGGTTGGTGTTTCCACAGCACCAACAAAGACAGATGGGTATGGTGTTGCAAGGAAAATGACCCCATTATCCTAGTAAAAGAGCATCACTGGGACACCACCACCTTGCCACAGCATTTAGCAGATGATGGAGACAGAATCACCAGGTTGACATGGCAGCCCTCGTCATGGAGAGTGTTGCTGGGGTGAAGACACGGCTTTCACTACAGAAAGAAGCAGGTGGGGGAGAGAGTGTCAATAGGATGATAATGACACTACTCTCTCTAAAGTCTCCAGGGATTTGTAGACCCCAGCCTTCAGCTGGAGAATGGTTGACTTGGGAGGAAGGCCTAGGGACTCTTATTATTCAACCTGCCATTTGTGAGGCAGATTGTGTCTCTCACTATGGGTGAGCAGTAATTTGGCAGGTCTGCAGCAATCAATCAGCAGAGGATCATTTCAGCTGACTTGCCTGTAAAGTTCACCTGTTTCTATATAGGTTCATATATAGGTTCATATGTGATGGATTCACCAATTGACTTAATTGGTGAAGAGCTTGGTGAATTGGTGAGAGATACATTTTCTCAAGCCTCACACACTACCTATACGAGGTAGGTTTGTCATAATTATGAACAAGATTTGTCATTAACTAGTTTCATTTCTGCCATAAACTATAACATTGTGAATGCCCGAGAACAATTTAAAGGTGTTTGTAATTAAAAATATTACATATACAGAAGATTTATTACGTTATTACAATTAACTACTGAGAAGGTAAGAGGAAATTTGGCAAATTTAAGGTGAAAAAAGTAGTTGAAACACAGATGCAGTTTTCACTGATTACTTTTAGTACAGTAACATATTCATAAAAAGCACTGTATTGTTTCCAAAATTAAGTTAATTGGATTTTATTAATTAGAATAACAAAACATCATACAACACTGTAGTCTAAACTAACCTCAACCCACTATAGATATATGGACATTAATACAGTATAATGAAATTAAGTGTGGTTGAATGTTTCATGATTGCTTTATTTCTAGATACTGAAAAGGAAAAAAATCTAAACTTCAATATTTTGTCTATATCAATATGTCAATATCAACAGTTTTACCAGTTTCAGGAGTGATTCTTTAGAAATAGTGACTTTTCTTCTCATTATAATCTGTTTTTTAACATAGCATTCTTATGAACTCTCCTTAATATCAGAAAATAAATTGCTATAAGTTGCTATTTATCAAGCAATAATTAATATGCCAAATTCAGATACTGGATACTTACTGAGTGCAGTATGAATATCTTTCTCTCCTCTGTTCACTTCTGATAAGAACTCTTTCAGGAATTTCAAGCCTCTGGAGGAAAATTATAAGATATTTTTTATATTATCACATTACTTTCAATAATCACTTTTTCAATTTAGGGTCATGGTGGCCCATGATCTCCCAGGAAGCATTTGGCACATACAGTATGGAATACTCCCCAGACAGGAGACTAGTCCACAAACATGCACACTCTTACACTTGGTCCAATTGTTTCAGAAGCCAATTAACCTAGCAGCACGTCTGTGAACTGTGGGTTGAAATGAGGTACCCAGAGCAAAGCCACCTGAACACTGAGAGAACATGAAAATTCCATTCAGATAGCATCTCAGGAATTACTCAGGGCTCCAGCACCGTGATGCAGCAATGTTAACCTCTGTGCAACCATGCTTCCCAGCCTTTAGAATTAAAATAATAAAAAATTGTATTATTTATTAAATCATTTGTAATTGAAATTCCAAACAATAACCTTTACATTTACAACCAGTATATACACATTTTTACATTTTTATAGATAAATCAAAGCAAACAGTTTAAAAACACAGTGAGGAGCTCCTTATTAAAAAGGAGTTACTGCTCGATCCTATCTAACTTCCAAATACTTTGTCACAGTACACTACCAGAACACCTGAAATAGCATAATTGACAATATTAATCAAATAATAATTAGAAAATTCTCACATTACCTTTTTAACCAGAGAAGGGCTTCTGTTGCAGAATTTCTAACCTGTGCAACATTTGTATCCACTTCGTACAGCACAATCTTCTGCAGGGTTGTGAACCTCTGTGGGTCAGTTATGTACTTCTGATTAATTTTCTGTAGGAAAACCAAACAGCCAAGTATTAAGAAGTGGTATTACCACAGAGGAAATCCCATGATATGAGTTATAAAGTACATAAAATGTTTCACTTTATAAAGAGGCGCTTCAGAGAGGTTAAGATGGTGATGATGATGAATTTATACAGTACTATATCTGTCATTTTTATAAAATTAGCTACAAAAGCTCTGAAACTTTAAAAGTAGAATCTTCCATTTTTTACAGAAATATTTAAGTAATGCACCTTTGGCACTAGTGACAAACTGCTAGCTTCCTACAGAGAGTTTAGAAAGGTGACACACTACAATAAGAACTGATTTCACATGGGGTCCAATTGACAATGGTATTTTGTAGAAACAATCACAGATTACTAATGCATTTTTAATTAAATTGACTCATTTCACATTTTTATTCCTCATCTCACCAATGTAAAATAAATTTTAAAAAAATAACATTTCACATTTTGACTGCACATTTTTGACTGCACAGAAAAAATGAAGTTACTCATAGGAGAGGTATACTACTGTAGCTTAAAAGCATCTTCCACTTTAAATATCATTTTGATATGTTGGTAGCAAAGGTGCTACATATTTAACAGCAAGTATAATTAGTTTAAATATAATTGGTTTATATTCTTAACATTCAAAATTATATTTTTTCCTTATAGTCTATTTCAGAAAGGAAATTAATTAGTAAACATTTTAAAAGCTTTGACTTCTTTTTTAAAAAAATTGTTTGTGTTTTTGTGAGGAGATAAATTGTTTGCACTACATGTGTAATATAGTTGCGCCTTAACAGAATAAATTCTTTACCATTATTATTATCATCTCAATTCCCCAGCTTCAAAAGCAGAAAATACATAATGTGTGCATTAACACACATATTGAATGAACAGAGAAAATAGCAACCTCTGGGTGCCAAAGAGCTACTATAATGATTTTTAATACTAGTGATTTTTGTACCCTCTACTGGAATACTGTACATGACTCTAAATCTCTTGTCTACCTATATATTGGTATATTGAGTTTCAGGCTGTTTAGCATGTTCTCAGTGTAGCATTTAGAGTCCAGTAATACCATCTTGTGGCTGTGCTAGAAATGACAGCTTCTAAAATTGTATAACTGTATTTAATTTTTATTCTATTTTTAACCATTTAATGCACTAGGATACAGGATGCAGACTGGACAGGATGCCAATCCATCGCGGTACACAGGCAGAAACATACACACTCTCACCAGGGCCAGTTTTCCCAGAAGCCAATTAAACCATCAGTATTTCTTTGGACTGTGGCAAGAAACCCACGCAAGCATGGGAAGAACATACAACACACAGTACCCCAGGAACTGAACCCAGGCCCAAGTGCTATAGGGAAATAATGCTAACCATTGTGCCATCCAAAATTTGAATCACACATACTAAAAACTATAACAACAGTTGAATCAAAATATCACATTAAACCTCTTTTGCCTTGGTTAAATAACTTTTAAGGCAAAAATTACATTATGTACGTACCTTAATATTGCCTACAAAATCTATTTTAACGGGAGCAAATACAGTGGGCCCCAGCTTATCTAAGGAAAGAAAGTCAAAAGTCAATTTTGGTTTTCAAAATAATTAAAAAAAACAAAAGTGACACTTTATATAGCAATATTGTAGAGTATTTTATAGTCTCTAAATTCATTTCAAATGCTCAGCCTTCTTGTGACAAAACTTGACTAATGTGATTTTTCAAAAGGATTCTGAGTTGTCTTGTCAATATTTTTCATATAATATCAGACAATCTTTTCCCCATATCAGAATTTATTACAAAATATTATCATTGCCAGCTAAATAAGTAAAACTGACCTGGAGAGAAAGAGAAAGCTTTTACCCTGCAATCTTTAATACCACTTATTAAAAATCATACTCATACCTGGAAGTTATATATAGAAGTATTTATTAAAAACATACAGTATAGACAAAATAGACAAGCAGTTTGCAATGGTTCAGTATGTTTACAATGTGAAAGTGCAGTCCTGTCAGAATCAGAAGTAAAGCAACTGTTTAGTGCAGAATGCACAAGGAATTTAAATAACTTTTAGTTAAGAGAGTAAGAGTAAGAGTTTCTTCCTACATTATTCACACCTTATTATACTTCATACCCATTTATGCCAATATGTGTGATGTGATACTCCACCAGAAATACTTTAAAAGTATTTTCATTTTTGAATGTCTTATGTAGAGTATTATCAGAAATGTGGTGGTCAAGGCTCGAGAGTCACGCAATGGAAAACCTGATATACTGTCATTTCCATATGAATAGTTTTACCAACATTTTTTGTAGCTAATTAAAATGAAAAAATTGGAGTATTTGTAATATTGCATTTAAACACAAGTAAGGACACATTGGATACTGGTACACACAAAATAACCTTATTTTAATGTAATAAAAACTGTTGTTTGTTATATTAAAGTGTTAGCACAATTTTGTAGCTCTGTTAATGTAGTCAAAGTCAAATTAGTAGTCCTGTAGTTCATGTCAGTTAGAGTCAAATTAGCATATATTTTGATATCAAGATTAAAAGAAAATATTCTAAAAGTTTTGCCCTTTCAAATGCTTACCACTTATATACTCAAATAATAAACACCCATTGCATGTAAAAGCTTTGTGATGACATTTATATAAGGATCTTACCTAATACAGGAACTATTGCATAGCAAGATTCCAAAAAGGGTTCTGTTGGAATACCATTGTCCTCTTCCAATGTAATATCACTAAATCTAAAATTAAAAAATATTTAGACAAAATCATTCAAATGAGTGAAATGGCTATCTTATCCCTATATTCATATGTAAATGAGCCATGAACTACAATTACAGAATGAAAACATCAGTACCCATGCAAAACATTTTTAATATTTAAAATTGTATGGTTATAAACATAGCAATGAAGATCACCAGTCTTATTTTATCACCTTTACTTCATTTTAATGGTAATGTTTATGTACAGCATATTAAATTAACAAAAAATCACCAGTTGAAAATATTCTAGACTTTGTTAACGGTAGCTTTTCACACAATATTTGAAAAATCCTGATTCAAAATTTTTCATCACTTGCATTTTCCTGCCTTGTATTCTTACAATCTTGTGTGAGCTTCCCTGTTGTTAAATCTCTATAATTATCTCCTCCAGTCCAAAAGCTTATAACACAATGTAAGAAAAATATCCAGTGCTGCACCAAGTTAAATGTGTACTGCTGTACCAATTGTTTAAATTGTGGTGTAACACTAATTGCTGCATTTGAAATATTGTGCAGCAATTAGCTTTAGAAGCTAGAAGCACTTGTTGGAATCTGTAGCTGGTGTGAACCCCAAAATCACAATCAAAGAGCAAAATAATCACAGAAAACATTTCACTGGGTATTTAACAAGGAAAATAAAAAAAAAAACATTCCTATAAAACCTATTGCATTTGATCACACCAGTTCTGAATAAAAAATAACTAAGTACAAAATCCACACGTGTAAAGATTCATGCAAGTGCAAATACACACCAGAATAAACTCTGTATCACTCTTAATTACCTGTCATATTATAATGAAGTAAAGAGTGCGTCACAATGCTAATTAAAATCAGATAAAATGAAATGCTCAGACATGACTTCTCTCATTAACAGTAAAGAAAACAAACTATTCAATAAAAATATTCCTATTATCCACATACAAATAAAACACATTTTGTATTTGTAAACACTGTTGCATCTATATTATTGATATTGTATTGCATCTGTATTGGATCTCTTTCCACTAGATTAATTAATACAGTTGTGAGATTAATTTAAACACTTTGCCACTCAATAGCTAACAAAAGGAAATATCACCACTTAGTATGGACATACTGACTAATCTCAAAGTCAGACATTTTTTTACTGAATAGTTTAATACTATATTGAAGATGTACAGTATGTGTTACAAGTGCAACTGATTTCCTGAATAGGATTATACAGTGCATTTAATATATAACGCAGCAAATTTATTTCTTTTAAAAGCCCTGGAAAAAAGCTGAAAACCATTCCAATTGTTGGTTGTGCAGTATTGTACTCTGAACAACTCTTTACAATAGGGAACCTGCATACCTGTGATTCATGGTACTAAAAAATGTGTCAACTTTTTCTGGCTCTTCCTGTTTTTCCTGCAGAGGAGGGAGGCCACCTTCCTGCTCCAAACAGGTCTCTCTCTGCACCTGTTCACTTTCCTCTCCGGGTCCATCTGCTCCCTTGCTCTCTGCACTGCCCTCACAGGGGGCATCCTCAAACTCTTCATTATCTGTATGATCCCCCTCCATCATGCAGCTGCCTTTCAATAGCCAAAAGATAACAGAAACACAGAGTTATAAGAAATCAGAAAACCCAGTTTAAATCTATTTTTTGCATCTAAAGAGTTCTGAAACTGGAATGTAAAAAAATAATACAAAAAATATAAAAAGAGGCACTGCCATTGTGTGATTCAAATGAGAGTATTTAATGAAGGTGTGTTTCAGTTCAAAATTGGAAATGAGCTTTTTTAATTTCTCTTTTGGTGCATATTTTTTAAATAAGCATGATTCAATACTGTGATTGACACCACAGGATAAAGAATGCATACTTGTTAACTGGTTTTGTGAGTCTTCTGCAATGCCTGAGTCATGGTGCTCTGATATCTCAACAAATATCTTTTTCCCTTGTCCTGGAGCTCTTGATTTTTCAGGTGCTGCCTCGCGGTTGTTATTCAATTCTTTTTTCCTAGTAAAAAGAAAGAAATGACTGAATTTTTATGCTCTAACTTGAATAACTCATTTTTATTTTCCATGAAATTCCCACAAGAAAACCTGTACCTGTTTATACTATCCATGTAAACAAACTTTTCTTCAGGCATTTGTTGTTATGGATAAACAAAAGGAACCGTAAATTACCAAGTAAATTCCAACCCAAAGAAATGTGTAAAACACCTTACTTTTCTGTAATTCCAGATGGGTGACTGGATGAATTGAGAGGTTTCATCTATAAGAGACAGGAAAGACTGTTTTTCAATGCATCCATTAAAAAATGAATTTAAATTGCTAATAACCAGGTAACTAGAAATTAATTACTTCACATCCTGGATGTTTATAAGGTTATGTCTTCTGCACTTTTTTTTAAAACTGTTCAGATTCAGCACAGCACTGTTTTTTTAAACTGAAAGGAAAATATTCAATTTCACATTTTGATTTCTGAATGATTGTTTAATGTTCCATTGAAGTTCATTACCAAAGGAAAAAAGTGAGAAGAGACTGCACACCACAGTTCCTTTAGATTCTTCTTTAATTACTGTCTGAAAACAAAATGAAGACTTACTTTTCTCATTAACCTAAAGTGGAGTGCTTACTTCACTGGAATAATGCACATTACATTCAGAGAACATTCTTCATTACACCTTTCTCAACTGCCCACAAACAGCTATGCAAGTTTAAGCACATAATAATTGTATTCATGTTTGGTTACATTTTTTCTCTTTCTTCATTGATTTTGCACCCAAAGTACTACGACATGAAAATAATAGGTTTCCTCAAAGATAGCTGTTTATTTTTTAATTTTCTTGGTTATTTATTTTTTTATTCCATATTAAACCACACCTTCTCTGAATTCATTTGTTTCGACCTTCAGAAGCCATGGCCATGCAAAGAGATCCCTGGGGTCCAAATCCACATAAACTAATAGGGGAAGGTCTCTTCTGTGTCATGGAATCCCACTTTCCCCCAGAGTCACCTCCCACAGGAGGAGGAATTAATATGAGAGGGCTTTCGCCACTTGAGATTCTCATTTAGGTATTAGGTGCCTTCTATTTTACCTCTTGTATTAATTATTAATAAAGGCAGCACACCAAAGCCTTTATAGATACTTTATTGATCCCGTGAGGGAAATAATAATAATAATAATAATAATAATAATTGCTTACACTTATATAGCGCTTTTCTGGACACTCCACTCAAAGCGCTTTACAGGTAATGGGGACTCCCCTCCACCACCACCAATGTGCAGCATCCACCTGGATGATGCGACGGCAGCCATAGTGCGCCAGAACGCTCACCACACATCAGCTATCAGTGGGGAGGAGAGCAGAGTAATGTAGCCAATTCATAGAGGGGGATTATTAGGAGGCCATGATTGGTAAGGGCCAACGGGAAATTTGGCCAGGACGCCGGGGTTACACCCCTACTCTTTTCGAGAAACGCCCTGGGATTTTTAATGACCACAGAGAGTCAGGACCTTGGTTTTACGTCTCATCCGAAGGACGGCGCCTGTTTTACAGTATAGTGTCCCCATCACTATACTGGGGCATTAGGACCCACATGGACTGCAGGGTGAGCGCACCCTGCTGGCCCCACTAACACCTCTTCCAGCAGCAACCTTAGTTTTTCCCAGGAGGTCTCCCATCCAGGTACTGACCAGGCTCACACCTGCTTAGCTTCAGTGGGTTGCCAGTTGTGAGTTGCAGGGTGATATGGCTGCTGGCGATAAAAATCTTTATCTTACTCGGGTACATGCACTACTGATACAACAGACTGTGTAATAATATTATTCGGTGAGTCAATAAATTAAAGAAAGAACAACTGATCCTATAATGGGGGACAGATCTAGAGACAAACAAAGATCTAACGTTATCTGGGGAATAATTATTTCTAATGTTTTACACTACTCATCTAAGTATAAATATATTTTAGCAATACAGTTAATCTATAAACTGAGTGTAAAACAAAAAATAAAATAATTATTTTCTTTATATATCTTTAATAAGACACATCTGTGCAGCTGTGAAAAACCACCAAGGTTAGCTCACCCTGTTGGCTTTGATGGCTGCCATATGGGGCGATCCAGGGGGTGTCTGGTGCAGCAGCTCTGCACTGAAGGTCCTGTTGGCGATCTGCATACACTCATCAAGAGTCTTCAGAAAGGTGCTACAGGTGGACTTCACCAAGGCTCCCATGTCAAGATTATCTGGCTCCTTTTTGAATACAAACACAGGCTGTAATGAAATCTAAAACATCTTCCTGTTTCTGTTGTGTATTGCTTTTAAAATATACATTATAGTATGTTTGATATTACTGAATCTGAACCTTTTGCTGACACACAGTTTACCTCAGTGGCAATGTTGACTGCTCCAGCTGCAGAGCTCTCTTTGATTTTATTTACTTGCTGAAGAAGAAGGTCACAGTACAATCTCAATTCAGACATCTTTGTTTTTAAAACTTCTGTGTTTTCATGTAGCTCTGAGGAAACAAAAAGTTACATTTAGCAAGTCTATAATATTCAAAATCATTTCAACCATTAAAGCAGTACTCCTTCCCAATGCCATTCCAATTAAGTTCCATAAAGAAAAATGTCTGAAGCTTAAGAACTCAAAACACTGTGGTTCAACTTGCTTCTGCATTTCTCTTTTGAACCATTTATTTAGTTCCTATAACAAATAATGTAGTAATATTTTGTATCACACTATCTAAAGTAATGCAAACTTGGTTAACTTAAGAATATGTGCAAGCCTACAGAAAAAGCCACACGATTAAAATGAGCAGTCACACTAAGAAATGACCTATTAAGGATGGTAACACACCATTAAATTTAGTAATGGTAAATTTAAATTAATTTACTAAAGCATGCCTACCATAAAGAAGCTGAACTTCCTAAGAAAATGCCTGTAATCACTGACAACCTCTAATGTCTAAGCATTTATTACTGTGGGTTGGGGTACGGGGATTACCCTGGATTTCCATGCAGATAGTACCCCAAATACGGAATTGAACCCAGGTCCCCAGTGCTGGAATGCTAACCACTATGCCACCATGCTGCCCTGACTAGGGCTATATCATTATCAAATTTAAAATAATGCCTATCTGTATTCTTTAAATTAATAGTGTACAAAATGTACAATATGAACGACAAGACACAGAACTTTGATGATTTAACAGAAGTGCAACATTCTTTTGATAACCATTTCTCTACGGTGAGAAACTCAGTTTGATGAGATGGAATAACAGATAGCTTTAGTCAGAAGATCTCGTTTCTGTTTTTACATATGGGCTTTATATTAACTTGACACCACTGACAAAAGTTTAAGTCCTGGAGCTTAGACAACAGTGGTGCCAGTCACATCATTTTGCTGTCAGCTTGCCAGGTTTCAATGAGAGCAGAAAGCAGTATGGTTGCAGATTAGTTGTAATCAGGTGTTATGTTTTTCCACACCCTGTCAGTTCCTCAATGGTTGGAAGTCTTTTGGATGATTGACTGATACCAAATACAATTTTGGTTTCCAAATTATAGAAAATATATTAATGTCTGAAATCACCTCACATACATTCCAGGGCTTATGGGGATGTTCAACACTGACAGGTTGAATGAATTAAACCCCTTTTCATTTTCAAAAGAAAAGACTGTGAATGGACTTGATCAAGGGCATCACAAAACTAAACCCTTTGTCAGAATTTTCAGAATGAGAAGTGAAACACAAACCAGAAACAAACAGAAACCATGTGGAAATACAATTATAACTGAGAAACTCACCCTTTTCTTTTTTTGTCCTATTATCTGTAAGGCATGCCTTGGTGGTGCCCAGAGCAACTAGCCATTTTTGCCTCTCTGCAGCATTTATAGACTTCAAGTAGAAATACTGCTCTCCTGGGATTATCAGGTCCATTCGCGTTATATCTGTGGAGTGAACTGTAAAGTGAAAGAAACACAAAACCTGTATCAACACAACACAGAACTTAGGACAGATTGACTCAGACACTTCAAACTGTAAATAAATCTAAGAAAGCAAGCATTACAGTTACACTAATGGCAATACACCACCAACACAGGAAAGCAGATACTGTATTTCTACTTCTCCATTAAACAAAGGTTTTCATTTGTACAGTAAGAGTTCTGTAAAGCATTATATTAAACTTTCTTACAAAAGGTATAAGTCACTCACCAAGGTAATGCTTAAATTTAGGTTTAATAATGTTCCATAATAAGGGAGCAGCTTCACAAATGGCAAAAGAGATACAGTTTTATGCAAATACTTGGGCAAATATTTGGAAGAGCCATCAGAAGGAAGCCTTACTTGCGATCCCATCACAAAAGTCAACATTTGAAGTATGTAACACAACACTTAGATAAGCCAGAGGTGTTTTAGAACCAAGTGCGGTGGTCTGATGAAATAAACATTGAACTCTTTGGTTGCAATCACAAAGGTACGTTTGGAGAATAAAAGGAGAAGCATTTGAAAAAAAGAACACCTTGCCAACTGTTAAGCATGGGGGTGGATCTATTACGCTTTGGGGTTGTGTGGCAGCCAGTGGCACTGGAAATATTCTATTTATTTTACTGGAAATATTCTATTTATTTCCAGTGCCACTGGCTGCCACACAACCCCAAAGTGTAATAGATCCACCCCCATGCTTCAAATACTTCTCCTTTTATTCTCCAAACGTACCTTTGTGATTGCAACCAAAGAGTTCAATGTTTACTTCACCAGACCACCGCACTTGGTTCTAAAACACCTCTGGCTTATCTAAGTGTTGTGTTACATACTTCAAATGTTGACTTTTGTGATGGGATCGCAGGTAAGGCTTCCTTCTGATGGCTCTTCCATGCACATCATGTTTGTGCAAGCAATGCTGCGCAGTTGACTGGTGCACCACTACTCTTGTGCCAGCTTAACCTTCCTGCAGGACACCTTTGCAGTGGTATGGGGGTTTTGCAGAGATTTTTCTTGTTTTTTCAGATCTTGTCTTTGTCAGGGAATATTAATGAGGACCCTATGCAGAAAAACCAGGACGAACCCCTGAGGCGTAGTCAATTTAACAGTCCAAGGTCGAAAGCCGAGGGTAAACAAAAGGGTAAGCAAAAGTACAAAATCAGAAGCAGAGCTGTAAGCCATGAAGAAGCCGAGAGTCAAAACCGGAATGATAACCAAAGTACCAAAATAAAACAAGGAGACGTAGTCGGAGAACAAACCAGGGTCAGGAAGCCAAAAACCAAGAAGTAATAAATTGCGAGAAATCGATGTAGCTCTAACCAGGAAAATCTAATACTGAGCAGAGGGGAGAGTGTGAAGCAGCATTAAATAGGCAGGGGTAAATGGGCTAATTGGGAACCGTGCTGGAATGTGAGGTGGAATGACGAGTCCTCCAGGGGCGTGGCGTAACAGTCTTGACTTAAACAGTTCCCCTTAACTTCCCCTTAATGACATTTCAGTCAGTGGAAATTGCAAGCAGGAAGCGTTTCTATATCTTTTTATAGCCTTCCCCTGCTTTGTATTAGTCAATCATCTTTATTTTCTGATCCTCAGTCAGCTGCTTAGAGGGGCCCATGGTTGTTGAGTGTAAGCACAACACCCTGACAGGTTCGATGAGTAAAGAGAATTTGTTAAGCTCTGGAATTCTCATCTGACTTAGATTAAGGCCTAATGAGTCAATTAAGTTCTGAGACCTTACATAAAAATAACACTAAATAACAATAAGTGAATCAACTGGAACTTTTTCACATGCCACATTTAATGTTTTATTTATTTCAATCTGTTAAATTTAGCAAATAAACAGTAACTGTGCATTAATATTTGTAGAAATATGTCAAGTTTAAGTTTGTTAGCTACAGAGGTTGTGTTAACTTCTCTTTACTTAGAAAATAAACCAAAAATGTAATACGGCCAGGGGTGCCCAAACTTTTGCCTAAAACTGTATGTCTGTAGTATTTAAAACGTTAATATTGAACTACTTTGTCTGTACAGCTCACTAGTGGTACATTTATCTCATACCCCTCCTTGTTCTTAGCTTGCTGAAAGAATTGAGAATCTACGTTTCACCACTAGACCAATTTTTTTAACTATTAATTGGTAGATAAAGAGAAGGCTGTACAGTACTTCATTTAAAATGTGGACTTTTTAACCTCAATTGTTTATAATTTTATAAATACTGGCATGTTAACCTGTAATATCATACCTTGTATTTCGCAAACAGAGATTGTAATGCTGCCTTTACATCCTTTCCAGGCATCTTCTTGTGAGTCATAATATGATAAAGTTCCCCCCTCCAGTACAAACCAGCGTGGCTGCCAGCCTAGAGAGAAAAAAAATAAACCAAATTAGATTCTGTGTACAGTGGCTGTCAAAACTATTCACCCCTTTGGACTTTTTCATATTTTAATTACACTATGGAATCATAATATATTTAAGTTTGAATTTTTATCAATGATCAACACAAAACTCTCTTTAATCTTAAAGTGAAAACAAATTTCTAAAAATCTTCCAATATTAATTATAAATATAAAAGAGAACATAAATAATTATATAAGTATTTACCCATCTTGAGTCACTATTTGGTAGAGGCACTGATGGCAAAAACTACAGCCATGAGTTTTCTTGGATAAATCTCTCCTAGCTTTGCACATCTGGATGCTACAGTTTTGCCCATTCTTCTTTGCAGAGTTGCTCAAGCTCCCTGAAGTTACATGTAGATGGGGACCATTGGTGAACAACAATTTTCAACTCTTGCCACAGATTCTCGACTGGATTGAGGTCTGGGCTTTGACTGGACCACTCCACAACACTGACTTTTTTGTTTTCAAGCCACTTAAGTGTTGCTTTGGCTTTATGTTTTGTGTTATTGACCTACCAGAAAATAAGTTGTATCCCAAATCCCAGGTCTCTAGTAGACTGCAGCAGATTTTCCTCAAGGATTTATCTGTACTTGCTGCATCAATTTTGCCTTCTATCTGCACAATTGGCCCTGGCTCTGATGCAGCAAAGCATCCCCATAGCAAAATGCTGCCACCACTATGCTTCATGCCTGGGACTGTGTTATCAAGACGATGTGCAGCATTACACTTACACCAAACATAGGGCTTAGCATTGAGGCCTGAACAGTCCATTTTGGTCTAATCAGACCAAAGAACCTTCTTTCACTTAGTCTTGGAGTCTCCAACATATATTCTGGCAACTGAAGTGAGATTTGATATGATTTTTTTTTCAGCAATAAATTGGGGGATATTCAATGCCTAGGAAATGTTCTTATTCCCATTCCCTGATTAGTACTTCTGAATAACCCTATTCAGGATTTTCTTTGAACGTTCCTTTATTTTTATTATGTAGTTTTTTTGGGGTGTTGTACTAATCAACTGTGAGAACTCCCATAGATAGGTGTATTTAGTCTGAACTCATGTGAAACACCTTAATTGTTTTGGTGGAGCGGAGCGGTGGCACTGTGGCTAAGGATCTGCACCTGTGGCTGGAAGGTTGCCGGTTTAAATCCTGCAGCCGGCAGAGGAATCCTACTCCATTGGGCTCCTGAGCAAGGCCCTTAACCCCAACTGCTCCAGGGGCGCTATACAATAGCTGAAAATGCACACAGTTGGATTCCATTCAACTAATTACATTACTTATAATGACAACCGGTTGCACCAGATCCTATTTAGCTGTGTCATAGCAAAGGGGGTGATTACTTAAGCAATCAGTTATTTTCTGTTCCATATTTATTATTTGGGAGGATCTGTAAAATGTTGTTTTCCTTTTGACATTATAGAGTTTTTGTGTCAATCAATGGCAAAAAAAAATCCCAATTAAAACATTATGATTCCATATTTTAACACAAAAAATATAAAAATGTCCAACAGAGGGGTCAATAGTTTTGATAGCCACTATATTATGATCCAGTGGACTACCTGGCATCTTCCTTCCATGTATTGACAAGGCTGCACTGTAGGACTAAGTGCTATTAGTATTATTATAAACACTACTGAACAAGGAGCCATTTTATTTAAAGAATTCTTACTGGACTAGTGCTTGTACAGTTGGTAGAAACTCAAAAGTTTTATCTCCAGATTCACATTATCAAGTGAACAGAGATCTTGACTCGTTTAACAGTTTGATGAGGAGTTCAGTCTCACCTTTGAGAGCATTTACTGTACATATCACGCACATACAGTAGCAGCTGGAGTAATTATTTCTCAAGACTATAAAACAACACGTGTTATATCATAAGGCATTCTCCATATCAGAATCGTTCTAGTTTTCCTCAACGTTGAGAAATTAAATCAATGCTGCTTCAGTGATGAAAATATGGCCAGGCAAAAATGGCAAGAAATACACATTCCAAATTATAAAAGGAAAACATGTCTGTCTGTACACTGACCTGTGCTGCAACACTAAGGAAAGGGTTAGGCGTGTTTGGTGCTAGATCTTCACCTTCACATGGTTTAACTGAACGCCATCGGAAACAAAGCGATTGCGGTGGTTAAGTAAATATTGCATTTTTCAGTAACATATATTAACAACCCCCCTCGTCAACGAATAAACACATAATATTATCCTTCACTAGTAGAAATATACTGTAGTTCGAGGCCCTGTCCCATCTTAATTAAACCTCTTGTAGCAATAGCATAACCTACACAAAAAATACATTTACTCAGTAGGAACAAATAACAAAAGCCTCTTTTCATACACTGATTTGTAGTCTTGAAATAATAAGAAAAGTATACATACCACTAAGATAATTAGTCCATTTATATAATAACCCCTCCATCGTTTTTCTCTTCACAGTTCATTATTATGAGGAATTATGTCAAATCCCTTTAATTCAAAAATAAGAATTCCGTAACTCTCTGAGCAGGGTATATCGCTTCCTTGCGTACTACGTTGACTTAATGTGTAAAATGTTTCGTGAATGATTTGAACCCATGTGATTGCGTAGACTTGTAGGCCAGCACAATCTTCGTGACGTCAGGAGGATTGGATCTACTCAGAGCTCGAACCGAACTTGTCTTCACGCTGTTGTGGGTGTGGTTAGAAAAAGGCTGGAGAGGGTGCTTCCAATAAGACTCGAAAGTACAAGGAGAGGCAGTGCTCTTTTACCAGATCTCACCAATCATCAGTGGGGGAAGGTGTTGAGTGTGTTGATGTTTATAGAAAAAAAGAATAGTGTTTGCCACGTATACGTCTGTGTGGTTGCATATGAGCAGCTTAGTTGTTCCACGTGTTTAGTGTTGTATAGATAGTTTATCCCTCAGTATTAACCCAGTATTAGTGTGGTCTTGTATAGGATTTCATTTTGAAATGTTGTTAGCAACTTTTAATTGGTTATGTTCGTCTTTATTATTGTACGTAAGCGGGGCGAAGTTGCCGGAACCAGAGGTGAAAATAGAGGTTCTTCACAAGCCTTTTATCTGTCACCGAAAGACAAAATTTGGGGACATGCTGCTGATACATTACGAAGGGTTTTTGGAGAGCAACGGGACAATGTTCCACTCCAGGTGAATACTTTGGGGAAAATTACAAAGGGCAGGGGTAATTGTCCATACAAATTTGAACACTGTATTATGGAATATTTGTTTTAACTTCTGTTGACGTGTTAGTTTTGCGATCAGTTTAAAAAACACCCCAAGAAAGTCACTTTATCAGCGTGTGTGTATTACAATTTAGGAAAGATCTAAATCCTGGACAGAAAAACGGGTCAGTTAAAACTTCAAACAAATTGATCTTCCAAGTTTAGTTTTTCAAGGTAAAGTTTACACAATGCATATAAAGAGTCAGGGTCTCTTACTGAATTCCTTTTATCGATGACTTTTTAAACTGATTTCCTCTAAACCTTATGACTGTCCACTTTTCTCTGTTCTTTTGGGGTTAGTGTAATTCACCTGCTTTTTATAAGGCTAAACTATGTGAGCTAGTCGTTCCATTTTGTATTTAGTCCTTTGCCACAGTTTTATCGTAACTTTATCTGGTTTGTACAGTACAGGGCAGCCATCTCTACTTTTACCTTACATCTACATGAAATTAAATATGTTTAATTTTGTCATTTTGCAAATAGCCATGTTGCCATTTGCAGAATGGCAACATTAGTTCAGAAACATTTAACAAAGTTTTGTTTTCTCAGCCGCACACTTGGCGATAAACATCCTGTTTGGTTTACTCTTGGAATAAAGGAAGTTATCAAAGGCTGGGATAAAGGCCTGCAAGGCATGTGTACAGGAGAGAAAAGGAAACTGACTGTGCCACCAGCCCTTGCCTATGGAAAAGAGGGAAAAGGTAGTTTGCAGTTTTTGCTGGCATTTAACGTCTTTCACAAGAACAAATGTTCAGTTTGGACATTCAGGTTTTGATTAAAATATTCACTTAGAAATGGTACACAACTGAAAGAGGTTGAATACTTTTGAAGGTGCTTTACTTAAAAAATCAAAATAACTACAGTAGTTCTGCTTGACCACTAGTTCTAAAACTTCTTTAGTGCCTATAGAAAGTCAACAAACCCTTTCCAAAATAACACATTTTGTGGCTTAACCTGATATTAAAATATATTAATCAAAATTGATTTAACCTTAACACATTGTAATACAACCTGCAAGTGAAGAAAATGTTTAAATATTCTGAAAAGTAATTACAAATGAAAACTAGAAAACAGTTGGATACATGTACACACCTCTGGGTACTTGGTAGGAGTACCTTTTGCTTGAATTATAGATATAATTCTTTTTGGATAGGTCTGTACCAATGTAGCATAACTAGATTTGCTAGTAGGTAGCTGCAACAGAATGCGTAGGCTGCAAAGGAGCAAGTAAAAGTTTATTCCATTCAGAAAAGTAAAGAAAAGAAACACAACAAACATTGTGTTTCTTTTCTTCTTTTCAGCATGGAATAAACCTTTTCTTGTTCCTTTGCACACCTTGATTTCACAGTGTTTTCCCATTCCTCTTTACAGAACTGGAGACTTTCTATAGGCACAGTATATGGTGTATGTAACTGTTTTCATAGTAGGCGTCTATGATAATGAACAAGTAATAGGTTTATTCGATGCTGAAAACAGAACAAAGAAAACACAATGTTTCGGCCATGGAGCCTTCTTCAGGTGTGCCAAGGCCTTTGCAGCCTACGCATGCTGACGCAGCTACCACCTGAACGATCTATGATAATGTGCCTGATCACTTCCAGGCTGCCAGATTTCACAAGTTAGAATCTGATGGTTATATGATTTGTAACTTCATTGTCTTAATAAAATAATACAATTTTAATAAACCTATTGAACGATACAGACATTTTAAGAAATGCAGGCGGCAAAACCTATAGGTGCCAGCATAGGATAAAATACATTGGAAATTTAGTTTTTATTATTTAGACATAAAATGGGGGGGTAGTTGAAAAGACTAAATGGTGTTTGCTGTTTCAATTTATTTTCAATTTTAAAATGTCTGAAATTGTCTGTTTCAAACATTTTAATCTGTACCCACAGCTTCTTTTTAGTGTGTCATTTTTAAGTTGATTGAGTTAACCCTGATGTTACTAACAACTTTTTGTTACTCACCTTTAGGCACCTAGCTACAGTATTTAGTAACAGCATGCTGAGTCAAGATATGCATGCTGCCAAATGCATTCTGTGTAGTACCTTTCACCACATTGGTAAGCCTAGAAAAATAAGTGGCATGTAAACTCTAGATGGCACTAAATCTTTGCTTTTTGAAACTTGGACTTTCTTTGTGCATGATTGCGTTGGTTGTCCTTCTGAAAGGAGAATGTTAAAAGCTTTTTATTTTGCTTTAGTTTACTGCAACTTAAAGTAAAACCAGCAGCAGAGCCCACTTGTCTCTTTTTCTTCTAAATTAATACTTTTTAAAGGGAATGAAAAATATCTGAAAAGCTATGCTTGTGTAGTACGTAGTATTATATTTTAGTTATTTGAATACTAACTTCTTCTATAGAATATGCTTAACAGTTATGTAAAAAGTATTTCTATTATTTATAAAATAGAAAACATTAAGACACTAAGTTTTGTTTCTTCTATAAACTGTGATTCAACAAGCTTCAACATCACATAAAATCTGTTTCCTCTTGCCTTTTTTTCTAGGAAAAATACCTCCTGAGAGTACACTGATATTTGATATTGAATTAATGGAGATCAGAAATGGACCCAGGTCTCATGAATCATTCCAGGAAATGGACCTTAATGATGATTGGAAGCTCTCTAAGTTGGAGGTGTGTATATAATGCACCTTGGTATCTTTGAAAGGTTGTTTAATTGTGGTCTTTCATTTTTATTACTGAAATGATTAAACCCTTTAATCAAAATAATTAAATACCAAATATAGCCAACACTTATAAATGTATAGTAAATAATAAATGAAACATTGGGGAGAGAGAATTACCTAGTCTAATGTAACTACCTTATGTAATGTAAAGCTTCTGTGATTTTAACATTTTATTATGGGACCTGTGGGAGGTCTATGTAAAGTCAAATTTCAGTGAAGTGATTCACAAGAGACTAGGAGACTAACCTAGTAACAGATCTATGCCTTTTTATAGTGATAACATGCCTTCTCTCAAAGAGATAAGATCTAAATAAAATGAGGTCAATCCTAAAATGATAAGTTCAGTTTCCAACCAAACAAATAAAATGTTATGAATCACAAGTAAAACACAGCACTGAGGACTGTGAACAAGATTAAGAGAACACTCCTTAGCCTGAAGTCATTGAATGGTTGATGTAACAGTATAACAGAGACATAAGATCACTTTATGACCTATACAATTTCTTGCATTAGGAATTTATCTTTTCGCATACCCTAGCTTGCTCTCCATGACACACAGACAGGGAGGGAAGCTTGGGGTCAGAGTGCAGGGTCAGCCATTGTACAGCGCCCCTGGAGCAGCTGGGGTTAAGGGCCTTGCTCAGGAGCCCAAAGGAGTAGGATTCCTCTACCGGCTGCAGGATTTGAACTGGCAACCTTTCAGCCACAGGCACAGATCATTAGCCA